TCTTGTGTTGTGTTTTTCAAGTCCATCAATTCATTTATTTTCTTCTCTAAGCTATTTATTCTCATTAGCATTTCATCAAACCTTTTTTCAAGGTTCTTAGTTTCTTTGCATTGAGTTAGAACATGTTCTTTTAGCTCAGAGAAGTTGTTATTACCCACTTTCTGAAGCATGTTTCTGTCAATTCATCAAACTCATTCTCCATTCAGCCTTGTTCCCTTGCTCGTGAGGAGTTGTGATCCCTTAGAGGAGGAGAGGCATTCTGGTTTTGGGTGTTTTCATCCTTTTTGCACTGGTTTCTTCCCATCTTTGTTGATTTACCTGCCTGTGGTCTTTATAGTTGGTGACTTTTGGACGGTGTCTCTGAGTGGACATCCTTTTTGTTGATGATGAAGTTATTTCTTTTAGTTTTCCTTCTAACAGCCAGGCCCCTCTGCTGTAGGACTGCTAGAGGTCCACTCCAGACTCTGCTTGCCTGGAGATCACCTGTGTCAGCTGCAGAATAGTAAGGTTTGCTGCTGGTTTCTTCTTCTGTTATCTTCATCGCAGAAGATTACCTGAGCTCTCCTTTATGAGGTGTCTCTTTGGATACGCAGGGGTCGGGGAGTTGCTTGAGGAGACAGCCTGTCTCTTATAGGAGCTCAAGTGCTGAGTTGTGAGCTCTGTTGTTCCATTCAGAGCTGCTTGGCAGGTATGTTTAAGTCTGCTGCAGTGGAACACATAACTGCCTTTTTTCCCCAGGTGCTCTGTCCTAGGAAGGTGGGGCTTTATTTATAAGTTCCTGAGGAGCTGCTGCCTTTTTTCAAAGATGCCCTGCCCAGCAAGGAGGTAGTCTAGTCACAGTCTGCCAGCAGAGGTGTTACTGAGCTGCTGTGGGCTCTGCCCAGCTGCTGTGTGAACTTCCTTGTGGTTTTGTTTACACAGGTACAGTTAGAACTGCCTCAGTAATGGCAGACTGCCTCAGTAAAGGCAGATTGCCTCGGTAATCACGGACTGCCTTGGTAATGGTGGACTGCCTCAGTAATGGTGGACTGCCTCGGTAGTGGTGGACTGCCTTGGTGGTAATGGCTGATGCCCTTTCCCCCACCGAGCTGGACCATCCCAGGTCTAGCTGTGCTTGCTGCGAAACTCTCAATCCAGAATGTTTCAGATTGCTGGTTTTTGTGAGGGTGGGACCCACCTAGCCAGATCACCTGGCTCCCTGTTTCAGCCCCCTTTTATTCAGTTGAGTGGGCGGCTCTGTATCCCAGGCATTCCAGGCACCAGTTGAAACGGCCACCCAGATTTGTGTTGAGTTTTTGTGCGGAGATCCGTGGTGCCAGCTGAAACAGCCATTCTGGAAACTCATGGCACTTTTCAGCCTGGGAATCTCCTGGTCTGTGGGCAGTAAAAACTCATTTGGAAATGCGGTGATCACTTACCCTCTACATTGTTCTGGCTGAGAAGTCCACTCCAGAGCTGCTCCTATTCATTCTGAATAGGAACAGCTTGGATCCCAACCGCAGAATTCTCTTAAATGACTATCCTAAATCTGATGCCTGTGGAATGCTGTCCAGAAAACAGCTGGCTTCATATGAAGAGAGGCTGAGTGTTTTTTGTCTTGTTCATTTAAAAGCATTTACTTCTTATTTAATATCTGCAAAGAACACAGTCACATCATAGTAGAATTTGCTGTTGTAAATTTTGGACTGTTTCCATGGGTTCTGCTTTACATCTGCATGGTGTTTGAAGCCAATGCTTCCTTTATTTTTGTAGGCATTTAGGGCCTTGTGCCTCATAATCCAATGTCATGCTCAATGACAGAGAATTAAAGTAGAATTTCTTTAACTATAGAGAAGGACTCAGCAGAACAATACACTTATTTAACAACTCCTTGCCTCAGAAACTGAAGGTGCTGTTTTGTGCAGGTGCCCTCTGCTGCTTATCCTGTGTTTATTTATTAAGTACAAGAACTGGGTACTCTGTTTCTGAAAACAAAAAGACCAGACTAGTCTATCAGAACCTATAATGAACTAGTAAGATGTTTATATTTCATTCAGAACAGCAAAGCTTTGAATTAGCTGCCATTTTTACTGTCTACTATTCTCCTAATTCTCAGGTAATTGAGAATTAACTGCATAAAGTTTACATATTAAGTACCAGTTCTTTGAAGTTAATTTTAAGATAATTCTTCCTTTTAATTTATAGTTGCATTCAGAAGTAACAACAACATTTATCATATGGGCTCAGACCTCTGCTTCTTCTAGCTTAGGACCATATCTTGACACAAGCACCAGGGGCCATTTAATAGTAAGGTGTGATTGTTTTCTCTGATGAAATCTTCTTATAGAGTCACAATGACACCATAATTATATTAATATCTTTTATTAACTGTAACATATAGTTAAGCTTTCCAAAACTAAAATCTAAACCAACTTTTGAAGTTAGAAATTCTACCAGTTTACTACATATTTCATTGTTAATAATTCTTTTCATTTGTTTTAAGTATACCTCTTCAAGGATTCTGGGAATATGGTAACAGATTTGTAGCCATACTTACCCGACTTTTAAGGACAAATATCATATTCTCTTGCAGCTTTTATATTTCAAGAGTCAGTGTGAGAGAGATAAGAACTTTGGGATCAGGCAGACCCGAGTTTGAATTATAGGATCTAACTAGCTGAGTGAACTTGGATAAGTTAATTAGTCTGATCCTTTGAGTTTTCTTGGTAGTTGTGACTATACATGAAATTATATGAAATCAGTAAAAATATGGGTCACCTACTCTACATCATTACCTAATAAGTTTTTTCAGACCCAGGAAATCTTGTTGCATGGAATACAAATGGAGCCAGTGGACCTTACAATGAACAAGCAGAGTGCACCCCCTTTGGCTGGGAATTCTTCCTCTCTGAAGTTCCCTCCTTGACCTGGAGAGCCTCTCCAGGGTGAGCATGCCTTCTTCTAGCCCATTATGAAAAACACTCACTCCCTTCTCTGGGCATGCAGGCCTATGGCATCCCACTGTCCATGCCACCAGTGATGGCAGCTGCCTTCTCCTGGCACAGAAGACAGAGCCTGGGAATCCTGCCTGGTGGTGGTACAGTCTGTCCCCTTTATGTACATGAGTTACCTCCAGCAGCCTCTCATTGTTTCTTTGTTGGTGGAAACAGAAAATTCAAGTAGTAGCATGCAAGTACCTGTAATTAAATCACATAAGAAGCCTATATCAGAGAAAAAAAAAATGAACCTGTGATTGAACCACAGAGGACAGATTATTATCCTGAAGAAATGTCACCCTGCCTTAATGAACTCAATGCCTGCCCACAAGCACTGTTGCAAGAGAATCACCTTAGGTCATAGTGCAGCCTGGGAAGAAATCTTTACTGGTGGAATTCGTGAATACTCAAAGGAAGCAGAGGATACACAGATGTGATTGTGACATATGCAACAAAGTATACACTAAAAGCTTTCGCTTGAAATCATACAGAACACGTACAGGAGATACACCCTACAAATGTACATGGGATGGATGCACATGGAAATTTGCTCTGTCTGATGAACAAGACATTTCTGAAAACATACTGGAATCAAATCTTTTTAGTGCCTGGACTGTAACCACAGCTTCTGTTTTGACAGTCTTGCCCTCGATAGGAAATGCCACATGCTAGTCTGAATGCCTTCATCTCCCACCTCAATGTGACTTTCCACTCACCTAGCTCTTTCTCTATCCTCCCACCATTATCTAAGACATTTTTTACATGTACATTTTAATTTTGATTCAGCTGCTTTGATCCTCTGAATTTACATCATCCAAAACTTCCATATGGTCAGTAGCAGATATTCTGTAATCCTCCCTCTCCTTACCATGGATGACCTAAAAAATAAGAACTTTTTATTTCAGAGATGTTAAGCAAAGCATTCTTAGAGATACATATATTTAATGTAATAAGAGCAAGGAAACATGTAAACTAAAAAAAAAAAAGTATGTAAAAGTACTGGATAAACAAAGATTTATACAAATGTCTGGTAAATTCTAATTAAAACATTAGAGTGAATTTATTTTCTAATTTAAGTAACTCGCTCTTTGTAAAATAAAGATTGCAGATTTATATAGATGTATAATGATTTTAAAGTTTACTATTAAAATGTGTCACTGAAACACCTGAACAGATGGAACATAGAAATTTTACAACTCCAGTGTTTTGAATTATTTTTTTTCTATAGAAACAAACCAGTCTATCAGTTTGTTTTCCATTATAACTTATTCTCAAAAAGCATACCAACAAGGGCCGTCACTGGGGCTGGGGGGCTGGGGTCCAGATCACAGTTTCCGCACACAGGACAATGGAAGGACTTAGATTAGTCAAACCATTTGTTCTTTCTGCTATAGTTTCAGTTCTCCATTCACATATTTGTTAGACAGGACTGCTTGAATAATCATCCTCACATACTTCTTACATTCCCCAGCTAAAGACTCTGGAAGCCAGTTTTCTGCTTGTATTCTCATGGTTTTGACAGTCATTAAAATGCCTTTTCGATGCTACCCAGAGTTACAAGTTCTTTACTGTGAGCCTGGCACATGATTTGTCTGTTTTAGTTCTAGCAGAAAGACTCAACTGTGCTTCTCAGTTCCAGACCACAAAAGTGAGCTCAGGCAATCAAGTGTTTCAGAAGCAAGACACATGATCAGAAATTCATATGTTTGTCAGCTACATACATTTCCTTTGAAAACATTAGTAAAATTTAGCCTACTAGGTGTTTGAAAATCAGCATGGTGGTGAGGGCAGAAAGAGGCCAACAATTTGGGCCTGTCAGAATCCATTGAGCTTGTGGGGTGTTAGGATAGGGAGGGCTGAGTAGTCAATGACAGGTTGCATATGAACATAGAGGCAAAGTGGAATAAGAAACTGCATTATCCTTCTGGAGCTGACTAGTAACATTAAAAGAATATGGTTTGCTCTGTGAAAATATCTGCACACTTAAAATGTACTAATTAAATGAAATAAATTGTGTCATTTCAGATTTACAATGTCTAGTAGAGGCACTTGGGTTAAAACTTCAGAAGGCGGTGACAGAGATGGACAACTATAAAGAAATGCTTATGTAAGATGGAGAACATTAAACAACTTGTAAGATAACAGTGCTCTGTAGATGTGCCACAAAATGGCAAGAATTAGAAAGAAATGACAAGAATTATAAAAACCCTGATATGTTCTCTGTGATTCTTTTGGCAGAGATTTACTTGTGTGGGTAATAGTTTACTGCTGCTTTTCTTGACCACTTTGCTTCCCTAGATTATATGTTGAAGAACCTGTAAATATATTCACATACGTGGAGGATTTCTTTATCTCAAAAAGAAACTTATCTATCCATATATTAAAGCTTTCCCTGATAGTTCAAATGCAGTAACTTAATGTGAAATACTCTTTGAACTTTTTTCTTATCTTTATTCCTTTATTATCTCTCCACAAGAAACAATATTGAAGCTGTATCTCAAAATTACTAATTTTAGCTTCAAGGAGAGAATTGAGTATCTTTGAAATGCTGAAGTACTTATGCTTGATGCAAGTGAGAAAACAATGTTGGAAAACACATGGTAAGAAAATGATATAAAATCAAGAGCACTATTTCTTTTAAAAATTAATTTTAAGCCTGGGCAATGTGGCAAAACTTTGTCTTCCAAAAAAATACAAAAATTTTCAAAGCATGTTGGCACACACCTTTAGTCCAAGCCACTTGGGAGGCTGAGGTGGGAAGATCACCTAAGCCTAGGAAGTTGATGCTGCAGTGAACCATGATCATGCCACTGAGCTCCAGCCTGGGTGACAGAGTAAGACCCTCTCAAAATGAATAAATAAGTAAAAATTACTTTCATTTCAGAAATTTCAAAAATCATAGTATAAACATAGAATATCTATAATACTAAAATAGAATGTATACAATCTTTGAAAAGTAAGCAGATTCTTTTACCTTATGATATATGTGATTTTCAGTTCCTATATTTTAGAAGGATGAACTGCATAAAAATATAAATATTTAGAATGCTTAGCAACCAAATGTTTGTGTTGACCATGAACTACTCCTAAAAACAATGTGTTTAATAAAGTATTGAACACAAGAAGGAACAAATTCCAAAAATGACCTATCAAATTAATGTATACTTGGATTATTTGTAGCAAAAGTTTGTTTCTGAAAAATAAGAAAAATCAAATATTCATACTTTATAACACTATGGTTAATAGCACAGTAAATATAGTAGCTCAGCTGTCTGTGTAGATGGCTGGAGTTGCAGGAATTGGTGGAAAGGGGGTCCTTAGAAGACCCCCTAGGCCCAGGAAGTAACTTTTTGGGATTTTTTTTAAATCCTGAAAAAGAAACAAGATGATGGTTGCTAGAAAAAGAAAAAAAATCGTTGTTTCTCTCCCTCTAATATAATCAAGGAGGGGTTTGGCCACGTGGATGTCTCATGTGGAGAGCAGTCTAGTCAGGCCCCAGCTACTGTGTGATGATTGCTTCTTGGAGCTCAACAAGTGAAGAGGGCGCAGTCTAGGCATAGGGAGGTGGTGCTAGCACACAACTAAGCTAAGAGGGAATTTGTGGGCATACCAAGAGTTAGCATATAAAGTGGAGTCTTGGAAAGTTAGGAAAGAAGCTTAGAAATGAGCATAGTGAAGAAAAGGAATAAACTTACTGGTAGTGACATGAATTGATATTTTACAGAGTAAGTTTGCACAGAATTCTTTGTATATTCATGTTCCACATAATGACATTTTGGTTAGTGACAGACCATGTATACAATGATGGTTCCATAAGATTATAATACCATATTTTTACTGTACCTTTTCTGTGGTCAGATATGTTTAGATATGCAAATACCATTGTGTTACAATTACCTACACTATTCAATACAGTAGCATTCTATACAGGTTTGTAGCCTAGGAGCAATAGGCTGTGTCATGTAGCCTACATGTGTAGTAGGTTATACAGTCTTGGTTTGTGTACACTCAGGGATGTTCACACAATGACAAAATTGCATAATGACACATTTCTTGGAATGTATCCCTGTTGTAAAGCAATGAAGGACTGTGCATGGAGCCTGCCCATTTAATATTAACACGTGCTTTGTGTTATTTTTTGCTTATTTTTAACATAAGTTGTTCTGAGAAGTTGAGAGTCTGGGTAGATTGGAGATAGAGGGAGAAATACACCACTAAAGTCCATCAAACTAATTATCTGTAGGAATTTACTGTACTATTGCAGAAATGCTGAAGACATTTTATCAGTTTATAAAGCTGATGTTTCCTACCCATGCAAGACCTTCTTAAAAATTAAAAAATTGACATAATGCCCATATTTAGAAATGTGAATTAGGAAAGATACAGCCACTTAAATGGCTCCAAGTGCTAGAGACCTTTCTGTATGCTACTGTCTCTAGCTCTTCTATCTATACTCTATCTACTCTCCTTTACCGCTAGGATTAAGTTGGGGAGGGTGAGCATTTAGGTTCAAAGCCTGGGACTGCTGAAGCCTCAGGTTGCTCAGAGGTCAGGAGGTTCCTGGTAGTATATAAGTACTGTTTTAATTATAGACCAGAGTCAAATTTGTGGCTTGGCCATTTTTGTAATGGTAAGCTCGAAGTCAAAACAATTCACTCAAAAAATTTGACATATTAATACAATTTGTAAGTAAAATTCAAGATTTCCTGCCCATACTCAAACCTCTTAGGACTTAGGAAATTAGAATATGCTATAAAATCAAGTTTCTTTGATTTTTAATCCTCATTCTTTGTAGGGCTGGGAATAGGAATGTTTGTCACCTATAATTTAAGATAATTCTTTTTGTTGTTTAAAGATTTTAAAATATTTGGATATAAGTTTTGTGAATTTTGACAATAAGAGAAGAAGCAGTTTATAAATTTGTGAAATTAGAGTTCTTTTTTCGAAGATTTTTTCCCCGAGATTTTTAAGAAAATATTTTCTAAAAAGAACATTGTTATGTATTTAAAAATAGAGATTTTATCAGGATGCTTTGGGCTACAAGTAACAGCAGTAGGATAGTGTCAGTTGTAATTGATCAGAGTCTCAGCAATATCCCCAAGGATCTTGATGTTCTTTTTGCCTCCATCCTGCTGCCCTCAGTACTGGCTTCAACCCAAAGCTAAGTCAGGTCCTTATATAATCACAAGATGGCTATAGTTCCTCCACCCTGGAGGCCTCATTTGGATATGGTACCTGCAGGCAGGAATGGACTGGTTTTCTAATGTCTTTTTAGAAGTGAGAAAAAAAATTATCAGATGCCACCAACAGCCTTCTCCTTATATTTCCTTGGCTGGAACCCTTTACATATCCTCTCCTAAATGAACCACTGGCAAGGGGAACAGGGCTACCACAATTACCTTAGACCAAGCAGGATTTATCCTTAGAACAAATGATAATTGAGACTTTGATGGCCAGGAAAAAGGCTGTAGTGAGTGTTCAGAAGGTAACCAATAGCGTTTGCTAAAGACGTAGAGCATTAATGATGCTCTGAGAGCTTGATGACATTTTCTACAGATTTTAAGTACTATAATATCTAGGTTAATTAGGGGAACACCTCTCTGAAATAATGAAAAATATGAAGACTATAAAATCTAGTTCTATTGTTTTTAAACTGATATGGATACAAAATATACTTTTACTTTCACATATATATGAAAGTATATATAAAAAAAGAAAGTATATATATGTATATCTCAGGATAAAGATAGATAAATAAGGCTTAAAAGAAAGACTGTCATTTATGGTGAAAATTTTTTAAGAATTCCAAAAGGAGAATACATAGAAGAAGAGTAGAAAGGGTCAACTCTACTGAGGAACAACCCAGATGAAGAGCAATTGACTGGTGATGCTGGTGGGCATGGGATAGGCAGGACCTTTCTTCAAATTAATTAAAACACAGAGAAGGGAGTGACACCTGGTGAATCATTGAAATAGTGGTTTTCACACTCCCATCTGCATAAGAATCATGGGGAGCTTGTTAAAATTGTGTATTACAGTATGCCCTCTCCCACAGACTCAGCCCCAGGACCAGATTTCTGGGCTCCTTTTCCACAGATAATCTAGTTTTACATTTAGATCTGGGGTGGCTCCAAGCAATCACATTTTTAATGCACTCCCCACATGATACTGATGGAGGTGGTCCAGTGAAACCCACTCTGAGGAATCACATATGGAACATTCAATCCAACTGGCACCTCACCAATACCCTCCAATCAATCAGCCCTGTGTGAAGCAGCATTTGCAGAAGCATCTATACTCAGACTAACACAATGAGTATGTGGACTAGAGTTAGACAGCCTGAAAGCTACTGAACCCCAGGAGAGCCCAGGATCCCCATAGCCCAAGGCAACCCTCCGGTGCCCCCACCGGGTAGCATACCCTGCCCCTTCATCACACCTCTAAAAACAACCTAGAGCAAAAATAAATAGCAAAGCAGACAAGCAAACAGAGGATCTTAAGTCTAAGGATTCACACACAACCAAAGATGAGTAGGTATGTAAGGAAACACCTTCTACCAATTCCCCCCGAAAAGTGGCTATGAATTAACACAGAAAATCCTTAATGCCCTAGAAAATTGTTGAATAGCAAACAGATGACATTAGAATAAGTATAATTGATATCCCCCAAAGCATGTCCAGGATTGTAACCATAAAAGAACAGACTGTTATGGGAAGCTATTAGGAATTCAGGAGATTTAAAATATCATAAAAATGATCCCATTCATGCTAAAAATGAATGCAAATGCACATACACATTCATATGGATTTAAATACATTGAATAAATGATAGGATTTCTAGAAGTGAAAGTGTGGGCTTTTTGGAAATTTTATTTCGCTCTATTATATATTGCTTAAATGCTTTACACTGTGGTTATATTTATTTTCATGTATGTGGTAAGAACAAAGTTTACTTAAAGTGATTTATGATCTGTCACTAAGAATATGTCTAAGTGGTTATGTAAAACATGTTTTATATGTTTTCTGGCTGGGCACGGTGGCTCACGCCTGTAATCCCAGCACTTTGGGAGGCCGAGGGAGGTGGATCACTAGAGGTCAGGAGTTCGAG